TTTTTTTTTTTTTTTCGGTACCGGGGATCGAACGCACAACCTTGCGCTTGCCAGGCAGGTGCTTATGCCACTGAGCTATTTCCCCAACCCTTGCCGCACTTTCTTCAAGGCTCTGCAGCGCCACCTGCGGCCCTGTGCCTCGGGGCCCAGTCCCGCCGCGGCCCCCAGCAGCAAGACGCTGGAGCCCAGGGAGCACATTGGGCCAAGCAGCAGCGGGGCGCCGCGAGGGGCTCAGAGGACGCGGCCCTGTCCCTCTCCTGGGACTTACTTTTGTCAAGGCCCCTTTACCTTGCACAATACAAACCACACGGTAATAGTGTATCCTATTCGATCCGATTTTAAGCCTAGAGCTCCCCTAGGCTTCTAGATAAAATACGAAAGACACCCTAAGTAAGTTTTGAAACTTTGTCATCTATGCTGCTTCCTAATCTCAGGTACTTACTTTTGATTTTTGTCTATTTTCAAGTTTAATGTTTTATCGTGAGGCTTGCTGATGTAATATGCTGTAAATTTTATTATAAGTTGTGGAATAGATTTTACACTATAATAAAATGCATATCACTTCTATATAAAAGTAAACATATATATCCAAGATAATTTATACATATATATATAAAAAAGCAGGGTATGGTGGCATACATCTGTAATACCAGCACTCAGGAGGCTGAGGCAGGAAGATCGCTTTGAGTTTGAGGCCAGCTTGGGCTACAAAGTGAGCTCAAGCCCAGCCTGAACTGCAAAGCAAGACCCTGTCTCAGAAAAAAAAAAAAAAAGAAAAAAGAAAAACAAAAAACAAACCCCCACGCTGGGCATGATGGTGCATGCTTGTAATCCCAGCTATTGGGAAGCTAAGGTGGGTAGGCCATGAGTTCAAAACCAGCTTGGGCAATTCAGCAAGATCGTGCCTCAAAATAAAAAGGTCTGGGGATGGGCATGGTGGTGCACGCCTGTAATTCTATAAGTCAGGAGGCTGAGGCAAGAGGCTCTTGAGTTTGAGGTCAGCCTGAGCTACATAATGAGACCCGGTTACAAAAACAAAAGAGTAGGGGCTGGTCATGTGGTACAGCACTACAGTGGTTGCCTAGCATGTGTGAAGCCCTTGTCAGTCCCCGGTGCTGCAAAAGACCCAGTCAAAAACTGGGCACCTGGGCCAGGTGCAGTAGTTCATACACACCTGTAATCCTAGCACTCAGGAGGCTGAGGCAGGAGGTTCACTTGACGTTTGAGGCCAGTTTGGGCTATGATGAGTTCAAGGCCAGCCTGAACTACATAGCAAGACCCTATCTCAAAAAAAACAAAAACATAAAGAAAAAACAAAAGAAAGAGAAAGAAAGAAAGAAAGTCAAATAATAATGAATACAGGCAAGGCTGTGGCGGAGTTGCTTCTACACTGTGGGTGGAAATGTAAACTAGTACAACCACTATAGAGATCAATATGGAGATTCCTCAAAAAACTAAAACCAGAAATTCCATTAAACTTGGCTGTTCTCTTTCTAGGTCTCTTCCCAAAACAAAGGTGTCATATTATAGTGATATGTGCATTCCCACAACTCATAATAGCTAAATCTTAGAGACAGCCTGTATGTCCATCAATAGATAAATGGCTAAAGAAAATGTGGCATTTATACACAATGGAGTACTATGGTGCCATAAAAAAGGATAAACTTGCCAGGCATGGTGGAGCATGTCTGTAATCCCAGCACTCAGAAGGCTGAGGCAGGAGGATCGTTGCAAGTTCAAGACTAGCCTGGACTACAAAAGACCCAATCAAAAACTTTTGCTCAAGGCCAGCCTGAAGAGCATAGCAAGACCGTCTCAAAAAGACCAAAAAAAAAAAAAAAGAGGATAAATGAGTCGTGTGGGAAAATGGGTGCACCTCGAGACTGTACTGTTAAGTGAAATCAATCAGACGCAGGCAGGCCCTCAGACGCCGAGCTGGAGTCTGGGACAGGGCAGGCCCAGCTGCTCCCGTGTTTCCTGTGGGGCTGGAGTTTTGCGCAAAGTCTGGCACTCACTTCCGTGGGTCTCACTTTCCACACAGTGCTGCCTGGGTTTGGGGAGGGTGACGCGGAAAAGTCAAAGTGCCCTCCCTGCCCTCTTTGCTGTGTGTTTTATTTCTTTGCTATACCCAGGTGCTGTAATCACTCACCTGTTTCCCTAGCTCTTGGAAAGGTGTTTTCACACACACAGAGTTGTTCAAATTGATGGTTCTGGTCAGGTACAGTGAAATATACCCACAGTCCCAGCTACTAAGAAGGCTGAGGCAAGAGAGTTGCTTGAGCCCACTAGCTCCGCCATCTTGCTGATGCTGAGACCTCCCGTCTTCCTCCTGGAGGGGCAGATGCTTGGGCAGGTGGCAGGCACAGGTACACAGGCCTCGGTCCTGCAGGCTATGGTCTGGGGGCCTCGTGGCCACCCTCACAGCTGTGCCTTTGTGTTACATTGTCTGAAATGTGAACAGTGACGACCACAGTCACTGCACTTTGATGAATTATTAGTTCTGTTCTTATGTCTTGATCTTTAGTTTGAGGAAGTAGCTGGTAGTGGTTTAAGTGCCTACAAAGAAGCTTCTTTTGTAAACTTAAAAAACTTCCAGACTAATTCTGACCTTCCCGAAGCTAGCCGACTATGAACAATTCCAGAATCACAAGTGCACACACATCAAGAGCATACTTGACCACACTCTTATAACACAGCATAGCCAGGCATGGTGGCACATGCCTGTAATCCAAGCGTTAGGAGGCTGAGGCAGGAGGATCACAATTTCAGGCCCAGCCTAAGCAACTTAGCCTGTCTAAAAATTTTAAAAATTAAGGCCAGCATGGTGGTGCACACCTGTAGTCCCAGCACTTGGGAGGCTGAGGCAGGAGGATCATCATCAGCTCAAGGCCAGCCTGAACTACATAGGGGAACCTTGTCTCAAAAAAAAAAAAAAAAAATTAAAAAATAAAAGAGGGCTATGCGTGTAGCTCGGTGTGATAGGCTCTTGGTTCCATCTGCAGAGAGCTAAACACACCATCAACAACCCCAGAGAGCTGTTCAGCAGAGGAGGCAGGATTTGCTCAGGGGTAGAATGCCTCGGGGGAAAACAGAAGGATGACTGGGTGCCGGGGTTGCCATTAAGGAAATCGCAGTTCTGCCGGGAACAGGGGTCGGGGTGGGTTCAGGGACACTATGGTGGTGGGAACGTTCCAGGGTGTCTGGAGGGTGGCTCGTGCTCGCCTCCAGCGGGACCCTTCCCGCGCTGCCCATCTCGGCCTGCCTGGCCCCTTCCTCGCTGTGTCCCCTCCTCCGCAGCCCTCACACCTTGTCCTGGATCCTTCTCTGGGACAGCGGGAAAGCGCCCCTCTGGGTGACCTCTGGGGAAAGGAGCGCCCAGGCTGGCCCGTCCTGGAGCCCTTGGGGGCTCCTGAGCTGGGCTCTCGGGTGATTTTTTTCCCCCCCGCCCCGGCGACCCCCGGCCTCTGCTGCCCCTTGCGCTACTCCTTGCCCCTCGCGCCACCGTTCTGCTGGGATCCTCTGGCTTTTCCAGGGGAGGGTCCCGTGGGACCGGAAGGAAGCGGTAGGGGCTTCTGAAGAAGCTGCAGCTCTGTCCTGCAGAGAGGCTGCAGGTCACGCTTTCTCTCCCCCTTCACCAGCTACTTTGGCCTGGAGAATTTTTTTTTTTTTTTTTTTTTTTTTTCTTTTTGAGATAAGGTTTCACTATGCAGTTCAGGCTGGACTTGAACTCACTTTGTAGCCGAGGCTGGTCTCGAACTGGCAGTGATCCTCCTGCCTCAGCCTCCTGAGCGCTGGGATTTGGCCTGGAGAATTGTTTAGAACTGGGTTTGGCTCTCATCTCCATACCACAGAAACTCCCCAAGGGCTCAGATCAGAGTCCCCGAGGGGTGCTCTTGACTACCCTCTTGCTTGGCTACAAGGAGAAGATACAAACAAAACAAAACCTATAGCAAAAGGAAACACTACTGTTAGCAAACATACAGAACAGATGGAATCAGGGTGTCTCCTGGAGAACCTCTGCAGTATCTACCGAAGGTGTCCTGGCAATTCCATGCCTATTTATAGACTCACTACATCACTGTGCATGCACATATATGCACACATGTGCACACACACAGGCACATGCACACACACAAGCAGCAGAAGACAGGTAGCGGGATGGTCACAGAGGCATAAAAGTCATAAACTGGAAATAACTCAGATTCCCTTAGAAATAGAATAGGCAAATATTGCTGGCACATTAAACATGATTCTTAAGAGAATGAACTACTGCAGTCCAGTGTGGTGGTACACACCTGTGACCCCAGCTCTGTCAGTGGCTGAGGCAGGAGAATTCAAAATTTTGGGTGGGCCCAGCCTGGGCAACTTAGTGACGTACTGTCTCAAAATCAAAAATAAAAGAGGGCTGGGGATGTAACTCAGGGCCAAAGACTGGAGTTAGTCGCTAGAACTGCAAAAAATTAAACATAAAACAGAACTGAAAACCTATTGTGACATACAGTACGGGTAAGGAAGATTGTGTGAGTGTGTAGTGCATGCTTCTGTTTGCTGATGTTCAAGCTCGAGCTAAAAATATTGTTAGGACAGTGGAATTGGTGGTGAGTGGGCAAGAAAGTTCCTGGGCTCCTGGAAAATTCTGTATTTTAATCGGGGTAATGATTACTTTTTTCTTTTTTCTGAGTCAGGGTCTTGCTATGTAGTGCAGGCTGGGCTCGAGCTCACAGATATCCTCCTGCCTCAGCCTCCAAAGTGCTGGGATTACAAGTGTGCGCCACTTCAGCAATGGTGATTACATTTGTAATGAATGGGTTTGAACAGTTCTAAAATGTCATCTAGCTGTGACGTTAAAATCTGTGCATCATATTACACGTGTGTTATCAATACTTCTCTAAAAGAACTTTTTAAAAAAAACACCCCACAATTGTAGATAAATTGCTCTTTGGACTCTTCACACTCCGTATTTTCATTATTTGGTAACATCAGCCGTGCGTTATTTACAGAGTGCCTCAGCTGGGAGGACGTTCGGAGCCCAGACCCTGAAGAGATACTTCAGAAAGTGAAAATGTGTGTTGGTAAAAACAGCTGCACGCGCAGCAAGAGCACGGCTTCCCGGTTTCCTCCCAGAACTTACCAGCAGGGGGCAGCGCTGCACAAACCCTCACGCTCGAGTCCCTCTAGTCCCGCGGTCCTAGCCTTTCGGTCTCCTGCTGCCCATCCAGCTAACTTCCAAAACGCCTGTCGCCTCCGGGCGTGGTGGCGCACGCCTGTTATCCCAGCACTTGGAGGCTGGGGCAGGAGGATCCTTGCGAGTTCGAGACCAGCCTGAACTGCATAGCTAGACCCTGTCTCAAAAAGACAAAAACAAACTGCCCGTTGCTCCCCTGCTCCGAAACAATGAGCAACAGCGTTTCAGACATGCCTGGGCAGGTCCTCGCTCGTGGGATGGAGGGCAAGGACGAAATGCTTTCCAGTCTCAGAGTATGGATCCAGGTGTGTGTGTGTGTGTGTGTGTGTGTGTGTGCAGGGGGTGATTGAACCCAGGCCTTTCAACTGAGCTATGCTCCCCAGCCCTTTTTTATTTTTTGTTTTGAGACAGGGCTCGCTAAGTAAGTTGCCTGTATTGAGCTCCAACTTGACGTCCTCGTGCTTCGATCTCTCAGACTGCTGGGTTCCAGGTGGGCATCACCATGCCTGGCCAGGTGTGTATTTTTGTTTCTTTTTTTGAGACAGGGTCTCACTTTGTAGTTCAGGCAGGCCTTGAACTCACTATGTAGTCCACACTGGCCTGGAACTTGCAGCGATCCTCCTGCCTCAGCCTCTCAAGCGCTGGGATGATGGGTGTGCACCACCACACCCCGCTTCAGGTGTGTCCTGAGTGGTCCCACTGAGGGATCATTGTCCTCCACTCCGTCGCCACCACCCGCTTTCGTGATCACAGCACGGACCGGAGAAGTCAGGCCTTCCTCATGTCCTGCTTCTCAGGTCAGCGGCCCCCAACACTCCCTGGCTTCCAGGCCCTCCAGTGCCATGGCTCGCTGCTCTGGCCCTGTCCTGTAGTCCTCACCTCTTCACTGCACCCCAGACGTCCTGGGCCAGGGCTGATGTCACTTTTGGAAACACTGTCAACTCTGATTGCACCGGCCCGGCAGTAACCTCCCCGCAATGTCCCACTGCACTTGGGATGAAGTTCAAAGCCGGGGTCCAGTGTGACCAGACCTGAGCTACCCCCGCCCCTCCTCCTTCACACCCTTCCCCCACACTTCCGATCCCCGCGCCACACCCACTCCTTGTCCTCCTTCCTAATGACACGCTTACGTCCTTGCAGATGGAGCTGCAGGTCTGACCCAGACTCGCGCGCTTGTGAACCTGACGCACGTCTTCCCTGCAGACCATGCACCTAAGGGAGCGGGGCCCTGCCTGGGTTCTGCCCTCTGAAGCCAGCCGTGCCGAGCACCTGCTGGGTTGCTAGGAGATGCTCCCTGCTTATTGAATAGGAATATCAGTCAAAAAACAAAAAAGATTATAAATCTAGACCTTGACCCCACGTAAGGAAGGAGACAAGGTGTGCTGCTGCTTTAAAATAATAATGGCCGGGCATGGTGGCAGATGCCTGTAATCTCAGCACTTGGCGGGCTGAGGCAGGAGGACTTCTGTGAGTTCCAGGCCTGCCTGGGCTCCATAGCAAAACCCTGTCTCAAAAGCCAAAAATAAATAAAAAAAACAGGTGTACTTTACATTTGTATGTGTTCTTTCAAACACGTAGTATCAACACCTATCATAATAACTGCGTAAGGTAGGTTACATAGCATAAAGAAGTGATATTTCAATTTGATAAATTTTTTTTCAAAAGAAGCACAGAATGTATTGACCAAAATGTTGGAGTAAGGGCTAAAGTCAACCTCTCTAAGCTACTCATTGGACGTCTGAACTGGAACATGTAAATGTCTGTCTCTTGATCTAACGTGCAAGGAGAGCGAAGCTTGCTAGTGCAGTGTTTGAGCACTGGACACAGACTTTTTGTTGCCTTTTTAACTTCTGTTTTTATTAGTCCATGTTTGCAGTACGCAGTGGTGACATTCATCATGCGGAGTTGGGACACGTACATAACACATCCTAGTTCCTTTTACATCCCTGTCCCCGCTCCTCCCTTCCAAGACAGGCTGTTAGGTTTCCAAAACTAGCTCCACTCCTTAGCCTGCTGTGTGACCCTGTGTAAGTTACTTAACTTCCCTGGGCTTCAGTTTCCTGTCTCCAAAGTGGGAATAACAATATCCATCTTATAGGTTTGAGATCTCACTAAATATATATAAAGATATGTATATATGTGTGTGTATTTATATTTATTGATCTATCTCCACAAAGATGCATACTACACACAGAGCATGACACATGGAAGCCCTGTCAAAGAGAATTGTTGCCGGGCATGGTGGCACACGCCTATAATCCTAGCAGCCGGGAGGCTGAGGCAGGAGGATCACTGTGAGTTTACAGCCAGCCTGGACTAAACAGTGAGTTCAAATCCAGCCTGAACTGCATAGCAAGACCTTGTCTTTAAAAAAAAAAACAACTCAAGAAAATAAAGTGAATTATTATTTGTGGCCAGGCGTGGTGGAACACACCTGTAATCCCAGCACTCAGGAGGCTAAGGCAGGAGGATCGTTTCGAGTTCGAGACCAGCCTGGGCTACAAAGTGAGCTCAAGGCCAGCCTGAACTGCATAGCAAGACACTGTCTCAAAAAAGGCAAAAAAAAATTATTTGTGGCTATCTTAAGAACGATGATTATGTTTCAGCCTCCCATTACTCTGACATAGGGCGTTTTCAGAGGTATTTCACACACAGACTTCGGGGACCTGGGGATTCCCAGTTTCCTGTGAACATAGTTACTGCTGAGGGGGACCTGTGTTCTTGCTGGACCACCCTCTCAGGCCCCATCGTCGGAGCAGACTTCTAGACGCAGCTGTCCTGTGGCTCCCTGTCCGGAGTCCGAGGCCTGGGCTTCCTGGGAGAGGCCCTCAGACCCTCACTGTGGAGCGTGGCCACATGCCGAAGCCATGGTGGCCGCGGTGAGTCGCCTTATAGGGCACTGAGCTCCTGGGGTGGCCACCACCCCACAGGACAGGGCTGAAGATTACAGAGGAGGAGGCAAGGGGGCAGGTGAGCTCTCTGTGTGACGCTCCTAAAGAACTTTATTAGAACAGAAAAAATCAATGCCGTTTGAAAATGCCTTTTTGCAGGACAAAGTGATAATTTAGAGTAAAGGTCATGGCATTTCATTTAACTTGCTCCATCCCACATTATTATTCTCTCCTGCATTATTAACACAAATACATAGGAGGAAAAGCCCATGATGAACCTTGTGAAACACGAGTGCAAGTTGCACACAGTTTCCTGATAAAACTAATACAAACGACTGATCCTCAAACTGGGCTGCAGTTTGTTTGAACGAATGGCGGTGAGATGAGACGGGGAAAGGCAGCCGGCTTAGGAATGGGCTGAGCTGCAAAGGACCCACGCCCTCTGAGGCCTGTGTTCTGCAATGTTGCGATACTTCCTCTGTCTCCCTCACCGCCTCCTCCCCTCCCTCCTTTCTCTCTCTCTTTCTCTCTCTATCTGATGATGTGATTACCGAGACCAAGGCTATTTAAACCAGGTGGGTCACAGAGGCTCTTTTCAGCTAGCCTGCATCTCCTGGGGAGCACATGTGGAACCAGATGCTCCGATGGGCCGCTAGGTTCTCGTATGCAGCGAACGAAGAATGAGATGCGGTGCACGGCGGTAAGGAAAAAGCAGCATACTTTTAACTCAGATGACCGCATTCGCAGAGTGAGTGGGCTCTTGATAATGGAAAGGAAATTGGCACAAGCAATGAAGCATTAGGTTCTGGTCTTCTTTGTTTTTTGTTTTTTTTTCTGGTACCGGGAATCAAACTCACAACTTTGCGCTTGCCAGGCAGGTGCTATGCCACTGAGCTAAATCCCCAGCCCCTTGGTCTTTTGTTTTTTGAGATAGGGTCTCACAATCTAGCTGAGGCTGGTCCTGAACTCCCAGCGATCCTGCTGCCTCAGCCTCCCGAGTACTGGGATCACAGATATGCACCACCACGCCCAGCTAGCATTAGCTTTAAGAACTGAAAATGTTGCAATCCCACCACTTGGGAGGCTGAGGCAGAAGGATTGAGGCAAGTTCAAGGCCAGCCTGAATAACATAGTGAGTTCAAGGTCAGTTTGAACTACACAGTGAGACCCTGTTTCAACAAACAAACAAACTGTGGGATGCCTCTAACTGTGGCTTCCAGAGCATGATTGACACATGATGGACAGGATGCTGAGTCCTGTTGGCTGTATCTATCACTCAGTTCCTTTCCCTTCATTCACTCTGTTATGATTGGATATATGGGATGCAGGCCCTACTTGTGAAGCTCCAGTGAGCTCCAGGTTACTGTAGGTCATCCAGAAAGGTCCGGCATCCTGTTATGGTTAATACATTGTGCCAACTTGGGGAGTCTAGAGGTTTGGCTAAGTGACTCAGCAGTTCTGCCTCTTGGGGTAAAAAGGACACGCCCTTACTCTTCTGGGATATTGTTTATTGTGTTAATTTGAGAACTTTAGAAGGTTAA